TTGCTTGCAACAAGGTAAATTTATAAAATATGGTACAAAAATCATGTAGCTCTCTGCCTTATATAAATGCCAATTTCCAAAGTTGTCATAGTAAAAACAAAAAAACAAAAACAAAATCAAGGCCAACATTTGTTGCTCTGCTTTTCTTCAATGTTATTCTTAACCATGCTGAGAAAATAGACCAGCGAGTGTTGGAATGCTCATCTCTACATACCTGACCTTTCTACAAAAGATCTGTGCTATATCATTTTCCACTATAAAAATGTGCATCTGGCAATACAAGTCTTACATTAAAACTAAAAATATGTTAACATGTATATGACATTTATTCTGGAGTTACATTTAGCTTCCTTCCAACTTCCATTTTAACACTTTGGCTACCTACAAATAGAAAACTGAACTGTAGTTAGACTTCCCTACACTTTTTATAATACTGGAATAACATAAAATGACATTATAAACAGATAAACATCCTATGCTAAAATCTCAATTGTCATTCTCTTCCGTCAGGGATATTTCACCCCTAACATTTCTCTACACAGGAACAAAGAAAAGAAAGACCTGTCACATGTGACTATGGTATTGTTTTGCTCCAAAAGTCAAAAGTAAAATAAGGAGGCTTTTTAATAATACATTCTTTAAAAATTTTTAGTTGATTTACCGTCTAATGCTTAATTTGAATGGATGTCATTTCACACTACACAAATGGGTGTTTGTCCAAGAAAGCACTTTCCTTTTCTGCTTGCATGCACCTCCTACATGCCCAAATTTAATGTGGAGGGCCTCTCAAACCTCTGTAGATTTTAGGGAGACAGGAATCTGTTTCAAGAAACAAATCCCACTGGATAGCATTATATTAGAAACCATTCCATAAAGATGCCTTGCTAGGGAGAGGAACATCTTCTTTGAAAAATAAAGCAATATGGGGAGAAGGACGAAATATAAATAAAGTGTTGGTCTTGTTGCAATTATTATTATTATTATTATTATTATTATTATTATTATTATTCCAGAATCATAGGGTTGGAAGGGACCACACGGGCCATCGATTCCAACCCCCTGCCATGTAGAAAAAGTACAAAGCACCCCCCGACAGATAGCCAACCACCCTCTGTTTAAAATAGAAACACAGCACATCCCTACCACACCCCCCACCCCCGTAAAACCTTCCAGCTAAGCTGTCCTAACAAAACCAATGGAGATGAATTCTGTTAGTAGCACCAAAATATTTGATACGCCATAATCACCAACCCAACCTCTTATGGCATTAAGGGTTTTTGAAACAATCATGTAATTGTCTTGTTTTATTTTAACAAAGGCTTCCTTCAGTCCCTTAAAGCTAGCAGCCCTTGGATGGATAAGCTAACTAGTGTCAATATTTATGACACTTTTGGTCATTGCAGAAGTGGACCAAATCAATATCTAAATCATATCAGCAATGGAATTGTGGAAAGGTTGATACTTCAGAGGCAGAGCTCAGTATTTGCATACTACAAGTCCCAGAATCGACCTCTTTGCTAATCAGATGGGACTGCAACTTCCATCACCTTTGGCTAACAGCAAGGGATGATGGGAATTGCATTTCAAAAAATATCAATAAACAATAACTGGGATGAGTTCTGTTTCACCTTATTTGAAAATAATATTGGTGAATAAAAGATTTGGGAATTTTGAGCTTCAGCACTTATTTTGTGATTGAATATGTTTATTAAAATACACTTAGTATTCAAGAATATGTGTGCACACAAAAAAAGCCAACCTTGTTCTGTAAGACACTCACTCATAAAAGAAAAAAGGGGGTTGAAAAAAGATTTTGTGTTCACTTCTATTTTGCTCCCTGGCTACTGTTTTTGTTCTGTTCACTTAAAAATACCCAGTGTCCTTCCACAGACCAAACAAAGGCATTTTAAAATTAGACATCCATAGTTATTGTGGGATTCACTCTTTTAGTAAAGTTTAATGGTAATTGTAGTACAACAGCTCACGTTAGTATATATTTTAAAACAGAGCAATGATTCAAGCAAAATGAAATTTGACACCAAGGTTCAGACATGATTGAGATACAAAAAATTCAATCTTCAAAATATTCTGGCCACTCAGTGTGATCATAAAGTTACAAAATACATCTCAAGCAAAAAGCCTAAATAAAACCTCCAATTCCTCTGATAGAATTGAAACCAACGGTTATTGCATGTGTTATATGTGTTATAACAGTTATTGCATGGGATGTGTTAATGCCCCAACTTTATTCTCCATCTTCATTGCTATGATATTGCCCCTTGTTGATGGGAAGCTACCCACCAAAAAATGCTGCACTTGCAGAGTTCAATGTTCCTCAAACACTCTCTGCTTCATTCGAAAAAATGCTGCTGTCCCAATGGACATTCATAGGGATATCAAGATACTTGTTTAGAAAGTGATTGTCCTCACAACCCTGTTATACACCTGCAAAATGTGGACCATCTACAGATGCCACACTCAACCTCTGGAACAATTCCATCGGCCCTGCCTCAGAAAAATCCTGCAAATCTTTTGGGAAGTCAGGCGGACAAAGCGTGCTGGAAGAAGCAAAGACCACCAGCATTGAAGCAATGATCTTTTGTCATAAACTTCACTTGACTGGCCACATTGTCCGAATGCCTGATCACCATCTCCCAAAGCAGTTACTATACTCCCAACTCAAGAATGGAAAATGGAATGTTGATGGACAGGAAAAGAGATTTAAATATGGGCTTAAAGCCAGCCTTAAAAACGGGCACTAAGAACTGGCCCTTAAGCATTCTAACTGGAGGTCAGCTGTGACCAACAGTGCTGTGGAATTCAAAGAGGCATGAACGGAGGGTGAAAGGAAGAAATGTGTCAAGAGGAAGGTGCATCAAGCCATCCCTGACTGGGATCATCTTCCACTTGGAAATCAATGTCCTCACTGCGGAAGTACATGCAGGTCAAGAATAGGTCTCTACAGTCACCAACAGACCCACCGCCAAGACCCTGCACTTGAAAGGCAATCATACTTGGACACAAGTGATTGCCGATGATAATTGAAATACACTAATTAAAAACAAATAAAGACAGACTTGTCTTATACTTCCCTTTCTGCTAAAATATTTAATATTTAAACATTTATTTTTTATTTAAAATATGATACCCTTGATTTTGTTGCCAGTTACTTCACAGTTCTGGTTGCTTGAGTTCCGGTTAACTGAGAGTCTGCTGTATCGTGTAACTAAGTGCCACATTAGTATTATTACTGATGCTTTCAAGCCAATTATGTTTTCAGATAGAAGCCATATTAATACAAATTCTGTACATCAGCAAATGGACTCCTACTGCATTACATAAAATCAAATTTCCATTATCAGCTGCCTGATTTCTAAAGCTGGCCTTGTGCCCTCATCTCAGCATCAATGTATGGCAACCCTAAGTAGGAGAGACCTTCAAATGTCCTGGTCATTGAGAGCCCTGCGCAGGTCTCGCAAATGCAAGGCGATGGTTTCTTTGAATGAGTCAATCCACTTGCAATGTGTTCTTCCTCTTTACCTATTTCTTTCAGCCATACTATGCAGTATCACATTCTTTTACTTTAAACAGTAAGTTTCTAACTATTCTAACTTGGCTGCAGATGCAGTACTGAACACAGAAAAAAACTTTTAAGTAGTGAAAACTATAATATCTGGAGTTCCAAGATAAAATAAAATATTACACATTTGGCTCTCAGCTATTTTCAGGCCTGGGTTGAGTAGCGGGAGTCTCTGAAACTTATTTCAAGATCATCTGCAGCATCAAGGCTGACCCCACAAACACAATGACCATTCCTAAAGAACTACTTTTAAGTGTAAGCATCGGGACGTATCCGCAAGTAATTTATCTTTTTCTCTTTGCATGGCAATCCCTTCCTGTACTGTGTCCCAAACTTTCAGAAAAGCCTTTAGATTTCAGAAGAGATACTCTATAGTGGAAATGACTATTGTCTAAAAAATAGAAATTCAAACTTCCTTGGGCATTCAGAGCCAGTCCTACATTTCTTTGGACCCAAGCCGTTAAAATTACTTTCACCCTTTTGGTTTCAGTAACTATGTTCAATGAACCTTTTTGAGCGCATCACCCTTTTATCTTTGATCACCAATTTTTTGTCCCATCTCACACACTGTGAAATTCCTCTAGGCTTAAAAAAGTGTTTTGACACATTGCCTTGCGGTGGATGGAGTATTGGCGAATTCTGCTGGCCTAAAAAACCTCAAAGGGTTATCATAGATGTATGAACAGGGTTATAGACAAGTGGTGGGTTTTGGTGTCCATAATTTGGATCCATGATGCTTACAAGTCTATCTATTAACATGACCTGTCTTCTCATAAGCTTTGGAGGTTCCTCCCTAATGGGCTGATTCCATTACAATTTCTTAACTTCTGAAACCCTTAAGAAATCCCTTCTTGCATATGGACGATGCCACTTTGGCTATAGTAGGAACAGTACTCACAAAGTGAACAATGGAAACAGAAGGAATGACTCCACATGAAGAAGTGACTTAAGCATCAGCAGCAAATTAATTATCTTATTAGTCCTACTTGTGGCATCTGCTCTTGATGATACCCATTCAGCAAAGGGAATTTATCTTGATCAATAAGATAATGCAAGCCTATTTGATTTGTTTCCTACTTTTGCACAGCTGAGTGCTTCATAAATGGAATCTAACAAATGAATTGACAGCAATTAAAGCAATTTATACTTTACTCAATGTGCACACTAAATTCTGGAAAGCATTATTATTTATTATTACTACTGGTGTTGTTAATAGACACACGATCTCGGCAATATATCCAATACATTATATGTGCTCAAGCAAGATAAATCTGACTTTTGGTTGAGGTGAACTTAAAATCCATTATCATTACAAAGCCAACTCCACTGGGATCAAAACTCCACTTACAAAGTATGTAAATTCACAATTTCATCAGGCAATCTCAATATATGTACATATAAAAAAGGTTACCACACTCACCTTCCCTCATTAACCTTTGTTTTGTCTCCAAGGCATTTGAAGTTTTCGATGTAACCTGCACTGCAGTTGATTTGTGACCAATCTGGTTTACATATGTCCAGAAAATGAGGTCTCAGTCTGCCTATAGAATATTTGGCAATGTCTGTCAGAGACTGGCTGACTGCTGCGCCAAAAATGAATGTCCCAATGGCTTTGTATATAGCAGCGATATAGTTGTTTCGCACAAATGAATTGGAGTGCAAACGGTTGTAATACACTGAAAGGGCCTCTCCTAGGATCATCTAGAATAAAAAAAACAGAAATACACAAATTAAATGGAAACACTTATACCACTGGAATAAAAGAATTATATCAGAACTACACACATTTGTAAAGTGGGTTTTCAATTGTCTAGATGAAAAAGTTAATTAAGGCTCTATAAAGAGAAAATAATTTCTAGAAACCATCTCAGGCCCCTACTACATTGCCATATAATCCAGATTATCAAAACAGATAATTCACATGACCTGCTTTGAAGTGGATTATATGAGTTTACGCTGCCATATAATCCAGTTCAAAGCAGATAATCTGGATTTTATATGGCAGTGTAGAAGGAGTCGCAGTATCTGGTTCTAATAACCCAGCTAAAATCACTGAAGTAAACAGGAACTTCTGTTCTTTCTCCACTTGATTAAAAAGTGAAGGTTTAATGAACTCACAACATAAGTATTAGGAAATCTTCACCTTTCCTTCCTGGAGACGAAAAAAAAACCTTTCCCACACTCTTTATCAAAAGCTCAGTAGCATCACCCTCAGCACTTAGCACACTTCATTCTTCATCAACTTTCTACTCATTCTTGACCTTCTGCTCAGAAGAAATGGTGTCTCTGCCAAAAACGTGATCATTCTGGAAATTCAGGAACCAAGTCAAATGGCAAGACAAGAACACACATGCCATCGATGTTAAAAGCCAACTCCCATATTCAGCAAAATTTAATCATGTAAAAGAGCAGGCTTCCTTCAGGATGGAAAGGTTTGCCAAAAAAACAACAGAACTATGGGGAAAGGTAGGGATCTGGAACTATGGGGAAGTACACTTGTATAACTTTAGCAGTCTTTGAAATGTTTTTGTTTTATTTTGTGTGTGCTTTTTCACAGTAAGGCAAGTCAATTGTAAAGCACTGATAATCATTACTTCATAGTAAAGACTGGGTGATGTGAAGTGTTATTTGTTGTGGTTTCCCACCATAACCCACAAAGATAAATATTATTCTAAAGCTAAGAATCTAATCAGTAACTATTCTGAACAGTTGCTAGAGCATGAGAAAGAGATCAGGATCCCAAGAGTGCATACCAGAATTTAGAAGGAGTTTTTTCCCTGTTTTTCCGATACTCTGGCCAAAGTCTATAACAGTGCCATTTAAAGTAACAGCACTTACTTGGGAAAGAGGAAGATCATCATCAAAGTGATTTAAAGTGTAGCAAGCACATATTTTTCCTTTTGAGGGTACTCCCAGCATCTGATGCCAGGTTTTCTGTTTACCCCAGATTATCTGACAACATGGACTCATATAATCTAGTTTAAAGCAGAAAACCTGGGATCAGAACCTGGGATAGAGGGCCTGTCTGGAAGGGACCTGAGTCAAGAGTTACAATATTCACACAAGGTATGTTATTAGTGTTTTGCAGGTGAGTTACACGGGACTAAGGATTTGTCTAATGGTTGGAGATATGGCCGCAATAAAAATAGTAGAATTGGAAACCCAACATACCGCACATATTCGAGTATAAGCTTTTTTTAGGCTGATAAAGCCCATCTCGGCTTATACTCGAGTAAAGGTTATTTATTATTTTACTCTGTTATTATTATTATTATTATTATTATTATTATATTTAGTACAGTTATTTTAATCTATCTATTGTTATTATTACATTTATATTATTTTACTCTGTTATTTTTATTTTATTACATTTATTATTTTAATCTATTTATTATTATTACATTTATTGTTTTACACTATTTTTATTTTTATTACATGTATTACTTTACTCTCTTTATTATTATTGGAAGGATACGTAAAAATAGATACCAATAAAATTACATTAATTGAGGGATCTGTAGGTAAAGGTTTTTGAAAAATATACATTAAACTGTAATTTAAGATTTTTTTCGTGTCAGGGGAGACTTGAGAAACTGCAAGTCACTTCTGGTATGAGATAATTAGCCATCTGCAAGGATGTTGCCCAGGAGGTACCCAGGTGTTTTGATGTTTTTCCAACCTTGTGGAAGGCTTCTCTCATGTCTCATGTAGAGCTGGAGCTGGCAGAGGGAGCTCATCCACGCTCTCCCCGAATTTGAACCTTCAACCTGTCGGTCTTTAGTCCTGCCGGCACAAGGGATTAACCCACTACGCCACCTCTGTAATTTAAGATGAGACTGTCCAACTCTGATTAAACCATTATTCTAACCTTTTTCAATGTAAATGTGCTTATTTTGAAATTTACTAGTAGCTGCTGCATTTCCCATCCTCGGCTTATACTCAAGTCAGTTTTTTGTGATAACATTAGGTGCCTCGGCTTATATTCGGTTTGGCTCATACTCGAGTATATATGGTACATAGACAGAAGTAGTTTCCATTTGTGCCTCTTGTGATGTAAGCCACCCTGCAAAGTGCATGTTCCATGGCACATATTCCTATACTTACAGCCATCATTCATAATAATCAAGTGACATATAGGGATGCTAACATGATATAATAAGCAAAAAAAAATCATATGGAGAGGCATGTATGTTACTTGCTTGGTTAACAAATACCAAGGCACCCTGTTTTGCCAGGATTATCCACCGGCACTGTCGGAACGAATTAATTACCCTAGATCTCACACCTGGAACTTGTTGAAACAACACTGTCAAAAGCATGTGGGGGTGCAACAAGACAACAGTTCCCACCCAAAATTAATAATCAGTCCCTGGATCTTTCAGAGTCACAATAAAGAGCCCAGGGTTTTTGTTACATACCCACTTAAAACAAGATTGGAATGTTTATCTTTCTATATACTGCATTTATTTATTCTGCAGGAACTGCACACAAGACAATCCCTGTTGCTGTTATAAATATATCAACTGTATATGCCATTACCAGGCCCAAAGCACATGCTGGTCCATTTGTATCTAGACCTGTGTTCCTCAGACTGTGTTCCTCCAGGTGTTTTGGACTTCAGCTCCCAGAAATCCCAGCCAGTTTACCAAATGTTAGGAATTGTGGGAAATGAAGTCCAAAACATTTGGAGGAGCACAGTTTGAGGAAACCCTGATCTAGACAAATGCTTTGGGGTTTAAGAAATGCCCTAGGACAGTGGTTCTCAACCTGTGGGTCCCCAGATGTTTTGGCCTTCAACTCCCAGAAATCCTAACAGCTGGTAAACTGGCTGGGATTTCTGGGAGTTGTAGGCCAAAACACCTTGAGAACCACTGACCTAGGAAACTTGTGTCAAGATAATTTTTGCACACTTGTGCGTTCTGCCTTCTCTCAGGAAACATATAATACCCTTTACATAATGACCTTAGTACATTTTACAGAACAGGTAAATCGCTTGATCTTATATTTAAGATGGGTGTTGCTGCATTATCCCATTCTGAGTTTCAGGGCAGGTGTCTAATTATTAGCACCACAGGTAGTTTATTATTTCATAACCCGAGAAACTCCTCAACACAACCTAGTTAGCATGTTAAAATAAATCTCAGTGCTTCCGAGGATGACCTTCTTTGACAGATATTTTCAGTACCAAGGGTACCTTATAAGAGCATTAGCTCCTTCCCAGACATGCTAATATTTCTGACAAATGTGTAACTGTCCTTTAGTAGTAATCTGATTATCTCCAGACAGAGTAATCTCACCTATCAATGTTTATTTGCTAAAGACAAATACATATTGGCACTTTCCTACAGAATCAGCACTTCTGTTAACTACCAAGATAAGAATTTTCTAAAATAATTTAACAGTTTGGTAATTGTGTGTTTACTCTAAAAAATTATGACTGGTGCTTGACTAAAAAACAAACTAATGTTGACAAAGGTGGTTAAAGATGCTCATCTGGTTTCAGCCACACCTAGAAAACTGGAGCCAATCAGAGGTGAAGGATGCTTACTCACGTCTGCAAAACAGAAGTTGTGGTGTCCCTAAATTTTATCCTACTGTGCAGGTTGCTCAGCATCTTCAGGGAATATCACAACAAGTACAGAATTCAAGAATAATCTGCAGCTATTCATAACTTGCTTCATTAGCCCTAGAAGTTCCATTTCTTCTTTTAGAATGCCTGAAATATACAGCAATGACTGGAAAAAGCAACCAACATGAAGATGTTTTCATCTCTCTATATACTGAAGGATTATCAGTTCAGGAATTCGGGCAAGGAATGAACATTGAAATAATATACGCACAATATATACAACATCTTGGACACAGATATTAGTGTCATTATTTGCTTACATCTAATTCTCTATGTAGCCCAAACAGATCTCAATAGAGACTTAAACAAACAAGTCAGTTGAGGTTTTTGTTTTTGTTTTTAATTAATTAATTAGTTATTTGTATTTATACCTCGCCTTTCTCTCCATGGGGTCTCAAAGGCTGGGCTTAACTTCTGTGCTGCAGAAAAAAATCCTGCTAACTGAAAGGTCTGCAGTTTGATCCTGAGTCGGGGTAAGCACCCACCATTAGCCCCAGCTCACCTGCCCATCAAGCAGGTTGAAAGCAGAAATGCAAGTACCGCTTAAATGGGGAGGTACTAAGGCACCCTTAAGGACATCGACTGATTGGAGGAAAGCTCCTTGGCATGGAAGATGCAGCGACAGCACCCCCCCCCCCCCCCCCATGGCTGGAGTCAAGCACAGCCTCCAAGATGCCAGAAATAAGATGGGAACAACTGCCTTTACCTCTGTTTGTTAAGTCTTTAATCAGCATTGTTCAATGTTTAATTGGCATTGAATGTTTACCATATGTGTATATTCTGTAAAGCTGCTCTTGAGTACCCTTCGGGGTGAGAAAGGAGGGGTATAAAACTGTAAATAAATAAATAAATAATGTGGACTTCTAGAACTGCATCTTTGTCACTTCCAGATTGCAGCAGTCATAATAACATTGTATTATGTGCAACACTATATGTCTTGTGGAGAGTATGCCCTAAAATGCTTTCTCCGCCTCTATCCCAAAACACCCCACCAAAACTAAAAAGCCAGAAAGGAGTGACTATATATCATTTTCAGCTTTGAAAGATGCATGCAGTAGCTTTCCAGAATGGC